TCAAAAATGATCACGTGCCTTGCACATGATGGATTCCTGCCAAAAAATGATCGAAAACCTAGTTAGGGACTAAATTTGACCAATGTGAATATATAAGGGACATAAAATTATACTTTTAAAAGTGAGGGACGAAAAAAGTCATTTTATAAAATGTGAAAGACGTTTTGGATGATTTTCCCATTTGTTTTTCTAGACACATTCATTAATGAGGACGAAGAAAGATGGAAAAAATTAAGTAGATTGAGGATGAATGGTATGTCTTTTTTGTTCTTTGTACCCTCCTCTTGAAAAAAAAATGCCAATTTTGGTTTAACTATTTCAAGCTTGGATTAAATATTTATCAAGACTGAACTAAAACAAATATTTTTCAAGACAAAATCGAATTGTTTGAATATTTTACATATAAATTTTAAAAACAACGTTAATAGAGCCAAAGTTCAAACATAATAGAGTTAATTCTATTTTGCGTCTTTCAACTATAACCAAATTCTCTCTTTAGTACTTAAATTTTAAAATGAGATATTTTAGTTTTTAAACTATAAAATTGGTCTAACTTAGGCATACAATTTGTCCTGAAATATAAGATTAGATACTTTAGTCCCGTTTTAATTTCAAACAGTATAAATAGCTATGAGCTGGATTACTCGGCAAGGGCACAATTCACAAATAATTAGTCCTTCTGTCAGGAAGGGATCCAAAACAAAAGTAGTTTGACTTAAATGTTGTTACACATGGCGTCGCCCGGACTCGAACCGGAGACCTTCAGTGTGTTAAACTGACGTGATAACCAACTACACCACGACACCAGACGTTTGAACCGCTGCCTTATCCTCATAAGGAATCATAATTGAGATAACAAAAGCGGTTTTGATCAAGTAACTTAATTACCAAGAAATGTATTTCGATAAGACAGCCAGTCAAACATCTGGTCTCGTGGTGTAGTTGGTTATCACGTCAGTCTAACACACTGAAGGTCTCCGGTTCGAGTCTGGGCGACGCCATCTGTAACAACAATTAGCTCAAACTACTTTTTTTTTGGATCCCTTCCTGACAGAAGGATTTAGTATTTGTGAATTGTGACCTTGCCGAGTAATCCAGCTCATAGCATATTACACCTAAACCTTTTTATTCCCTTTGTGGCAAATAGTAAAATTGATCGTTTGATATCTTTGAAAATACACTATTATGCCATGTGAATTGTGATTCAATTTGGCCCAAGGAAATGATGGTATTGATAGGTTGGGTGCCCTTCCAGATGATGTTCTCCATCACATCATGTCCTTTCTTGACACAAAAGATGCTGCAGCCACCTGTGTGTTATCCACTAGATGGAGAAATCTTTTCAGCTGGTGGAAAGATTTCAGATGGAGAATTCCTGTTCTCCATCTCAATATTAATGGACCACCTGACCCAGTTCTGCATTGGATGATAGTGATGGGGAGTTCTCTGAATCTTTAAGTATCGGTTACGAGGTGGTTCTACAAAGAAACAGGGCTCCTATTAGAAAATTGAGTCTGGTGGAAAGATTTCAGATGGCGCTTGAATTCTTTATATCTGCTGCACTTGATATTGTTGCGTCCCATAACTTGATATGGGACTTGATATTGTTGTGTCCCATAATACTACAGGACGATTGTTTCCTATAGAAATATTCATTTGCAAAACTCTGGTAACTGTGAAACTATCATGGCAAGTTAATCTTCTTGTTCCCAGTTCAGTTTTTTGCCAAATCTCAAGGTGTTGCACTTGACAGGACCTGTGGGATTAGTAGATGAAAATTACTTTCCAAGACTTATTCGTGGTTGCCCATCTCTTGAAGAATTGTATTTAGTTTTCCATAGGTTGATTTATCTAGTCCTTCATTGAAAAAACTTAGGACTTACTAGTTGGGAGGACGCTACAACTATGTAATTGAGTGTAACAGTCTTGAATATCTTGAAGTCAGCGGTTTTGGAAATCATAAGTTTATGCTAAATGTCCTGAGACTCGAGAGATTTGGAGTGTGAAATTGATGCTCAAAGAGTAACGTTCATTCAAGAACTGAAGTCTCTTGTTAGAGCCACAATTTTATTGTCGCATCTCCACGCAGAAGGAACTGAAAGTGGCTTGTTTTTTCGTAGTCAGCATTCTTTTGAGCTTATTAATTGGTTACAAAGTGTGAAGTCACTTGACCTATGTCACCACTCCCTGCAGGTATACATGCCTTCATTTTACTTCTTTCTTCTCATCTCCAGGCTTTTCCTTTGACTTGTGGACTAATTGGACATTTATACTTTCAAGCAATAAGTTTTCTTAAATGTTCTGTTCATTTGACTGTAGGCTCTCCATTATTCTCGACAGTTGTTGCCAGCTTTCGAAAACATGACAACTGTGTTGCTTGAAGCTCCTTGGAATGATGTTTTTTATCATACAAATTTGTGGACAATGTTACCCGCATTACTTCAAAGAGCCCCTAATCTTGAGGTGCTTATCTTCCGTCAAGTGAGTTATTATGAGCTTCTTAATGACATATTTCATTGCACTATATGTCTGCAGTCCCTATTTGATCTTCTTTAATCCACAGGTCTTTAGGAATGATTTTGGTGGAATCAAAGAATTCGGGTGCATCTTGGCAGAGGCTATTCCTATATGCATCGTTGAACGTCTTAGGGAGATAGAAATCAGAGAATTCTATGGGGAGGAATATGAAATCAAGCTAGTGCAGTATTTCTTGCAGAACGGGAAGTCTTTGAAAAAGATGACTCTTTGTGGAGTTAGGCAGCAGTCAAAGACGTTATCGGATGGTTGTAATAAGATATTGTCATTCAACAAATCCTCAGAGGTCTGCCAGATTGTGTTCTTCAACAAATCGTAGAACAGGAATTCTCGTTTTTCTGGTATTCTTTTCAGCTAGACTGGATCGTTTGCATCCAGAAATGGAGTATAATCTCACTTGAAAACTGGCATAGAAATATCTGCTATTTTATGTAAGATGAGCTGTTCTGAGTTAGTTTATGCCATCCGACTGTTTGCAGCTTCCTTTGAAGGTAATACAATGGAAAGAGGAATCAAACCCTCTTTTCTTTATGGGACAATGAATATGGAGAACCTCCTGTTTTGTACTTAGTTCTCTTCAGTCACCAAAAGAAAAGGAAGAAAAAAATTTGATGGTTCTCAGCTTTGTTTTCCTATTCTTATTTTGGCAACAAAACAATCGCTGCAGCACATGCCAAAAGATGTGAATGCCTTCATACCTTTTGGCAAATGAACACTTTTTTTATTTGCATAAATGAGATGCTTCGAAGTTGAGATCTCTTACTTGCATTTCCATTCCTATACTATCCAATCCAACCCTCCCCCTCTCCCCCCCACCCCAAAAATAAAGGAAGAGGGGCAAGAACAGTTCCTAGTAGCAATCCTTCCCGGCAGTTCATGGCCAAGATTTGGCCAAAAAAAATATAATGTCTATATTTCATCTTGTACCTCATTTTTTACATCATGTGTGGGGCCTACAAAATTTTATTCTATAGTTACACGACGTTGAAATGAGTTACGTCGTGTGTAGAAAGAGTTACGCAGTGTGCATTTTACATATAACCTTCTGCAACCATTTCTGCCCCTTGTCCAAAAATAAAGCAAATGAACACCTTATTTGTTTTATTAGCAAAAATGATAGCTACTTGACAAAAATACGGTGGAAGTGAGTACTCTATTTTAACAGTTGTTACTTTGGGCTTTAGCATTGCAATGAAACAAAACTCAAACAACACATGGAAAACAACCAATCCTAAGGGTCCGTTTGTTTCAGTGTAAAAGTTTTTTCCCAAGGAAAACATTTTCAGTGAAAAACATTCATCAGCGGAAAAAAAATTATTTCCCTTAATTTTCAAGTGTTTGGTGCACTTTTGAAAAATGTTCTTCGAAGCCAAAACCCACAAGATTGTTCCCCTCAAAGATTCGTCAGTCTCCTTCTGCCAATGACCAGAACTCCATCCATACCTATATCAATTCACTACCCCAATCCAAATACTTCAAATTCCAAAAAATTAGATCATACTCCATGACCAGGAAATCCATAGTATTGCAAACCCCTTACCATTACAGATCATACTAATTACCTAATCACTGCGTCAATGGAAATTGCATCAAGAATGAGATTCTTGTCATTGATAGAGTTCTACCGGATGAAACACTTCACTGATGCTTACAAATAGTACTAAGAAAGATAAGGAAGACGGGGAGGCAGCTATAGGTCTAAGTTAGCCACAATAGATAATTTTGAGCCATGATCTGAAAAATTTCGGTTTAGTCATTTTAGTCCTGATGGCGTAAAAGATTTTTCACGGGAAAAAATTCTCAATCTTTTTGGCTGCCAAACACCAGAATTTCCTGACAAATATTTTCTGGAAAATATTTTTCTGTTCTAACAAACAGACCCCAAGGATTTGTTATACGGTCGAGCAATATCTTCGAACGGTTCCGAAATTAGAGGATCCTAGACTCCTAGTTCAGATTATATATCATTAACTAATGAAGTCGATGCCTGTTAGGTATTCATATCTATCTTTTACTGTTGGCGAATAAGAAATTATCAGTTCCCAAGAGTGTAGGGAGAGAGTGAGTGGTCAAGGGAAGAAGAGGAGGATCATAATATTCAGATCTTTTTTTTCTTTTTCTCTTTTCTGATTCAGTAATTTTATAGCCTCTGAATTTGGAATTGTACATAAATCAGCTGCAGTTAATGATTTCAGAGCAGCCATGAAAAGCATACAGCCACCCCACAATTTGCAGCCCACGGGTTTCACCATAGAAGCAGGTTCAATATTCAATTTTTTATGGTTTTGTAAAAGGATTCCTTATGCATTCATGCATGCAAGTAAATGATAAATGATTTAACCCCAAATTCTTGAAGAGATTCGTTTTAGTTCATTCCTGAACTGTGGTTAGGAAATATTGAGAAAAAACATAAGATGGGCTTAAAACAGAGTCGAGAAATGGAACGAAAATGGAAAATCTCAGAAATGGATAATGTTGATAGGTTGAGTGCCCTTCCAGATGATTTTCTCTACGAAATTCTGTCACTTCTTCCTGCAAAAGATGCTGTAGCCTTCTTAATTGTATCCACCAAATGGAGAAAACTATTCACTTCAGTTCCTGATACTAATTTCTGCGTAAATGGACTGAACGATCCTGATGATCCTGATCCTTGTAGTGTAAGGAGTTTCCGGGACGAGATACATGTTGGTTGTCGAATACTTGCACTTCGAACTGGTGCTCCTTTAAGAAAATTTCAACTTCATATTAAACAGTATGTGGGAAGGTTTGCGTCTGCAGTTGAATTGTTTATATTGAAGGCACTTGCGTGTAGAGTCCGGGAACTTGACATTCATGTGGGAATGACAGATAAAAGCCGATCAATTCCTCCTGAAGTATTCACCTGCAAAACACTCGTCACTTTGAAGTTGACAAGGGATGTGGATTTGGATTTGATTGTACCTAATGCAATTTGTTTACCGAATCTTAAGGTTCTGCACTTGAGAGGGGAAATGAGAGTGGTAGATGGAATCTGTATTCAACGACTTATCAAGGGTTGTCCTTCGCTGGAAGAACTGAACTTAGTCTTATGCCGTATGGATGAGAGTGATGAAGATCAAGTAATTGATTTCTCTAGTCCTTCACTGAAAAGATTGACACTTGCCAGTTTTAATTATGGGGGCCTGTTTGATTTCGTTTTGGATTCAAGCCAACTTGAATATCTGGAATTCCACCATGTTGGGAAGCATAGGTTCACATTAGATGCCCCAAACCTCAGCTATCTAAATTACGAATGCAATGCTGTTGAGGTGAACCTCATTCAAAAGAACTTCACTCAAAGCCTGAAGTCTGTTGTGAGAGCCAGTATAGCAATTCGGTATATGGCTCTTGAGATTTTCAACAAAACAATCCAAACAAACTTCTTTTTGGATGGTCGGCATGCTTTTGAGCTCATCAATGATTTGCAAAGTGTCAAATCTCTTCAGTTACATGGACACACTCTCCTGGTATGTATTTCTTGGTTTCTTTTACTTTTTCTTTTCTCATCCAATTAGGCTCCTATTTTATAATTGTGGACTGGACATAGAATGTTACCATTAGAGGGAGCAAATTGTTTTAACAGTCTTCTCCCTTTTTGTGAAGGCTCTTTTTGAATTTAGAGGAAGGTTGCCAACTTTCAGAAATTTAACCATTCTGCAGCTTGGACCTTTTAATTATGATGGTGTTGATCATGGGCATTTGTGGAAAATGTTACCAAGATTACTTGAAAGTGCCCCAGACCTTGAAGTACTTATCCTTGGTGAGGTAAGTTATATTGAGCTTTTCATCAAGAAGTTTATTAATTTCATTATGTATTGCATGCAGTCCCTAATCTACTTTAAATGGTCAGGCGTTGGGGAATGTCTTCACTAGAGATAGGGAGTTTGAGGTTTTTTTGCCCCTGTGCTTTTCTAGTTTTGAGGTTTTTTTGCCCCTGTGCCTTCCTAGTTGCTGCCTTGATCGTCTTAGGGAGGTAGAAATCAGAGAGTTCAACAATGAGGAATATGAATTCAAGCTAGTCAAGTATATTTTGAAGAATGGAAAATCTTTGAAGAAGATGACTATTGGTGGAGTTATAAAGGCTATGAAATCTTCAGAAAAATGTTGCAAGAGGATATCATCATTCAATAAAAGCTCCCAGGATTGCCAGATTGTATTCAACTAGAAGGAAAAGAAGTAGGATTTTATGATCATTGATCATGAGTTGGAATGTGCTGTGGAGCTACTGGTCAGGATTTTTATGAGAAATTCTTGTCATCTTTCCACGGCATGGTTTGTTTAATGTTTAGTAAAGTTCATCTAAAAGCAAGTTACTTATTCTGCTTGACATTTCCCTTTCTGGAGACAATTTTGGATTTTCCTTTTCAATGTGAAGATCAATTGATGAACTTGTAATGAAAATTAAACGATCATATCCAGTTCTTAGCTGATGCTTCTCAATTCATTTAATAGCAGGACCAAAAATCTCTTATCACATGTTTTCACCCTTGAATGTGTAAGGTTATGGCAATGTCTTAGGAGTACAGCAATTGCAGACGATGTTGTTGGCTCTGGCTTTAGTTAGCAATTTCTCTGAAAGAAAAATTTGTCAATAATAGCACATTCCCTAGTTTAACCCTAAGATAACATAATGTCAAGGTCAAAGTAACTCTGTTTGGATTAGCTGCTTTTGGGAGTGTTTTTAAAATTTTTACTGTAGCAGTGTATATGAAAATTTTTCTGAAAATTTTTACTATAAAATTTTTTTGAAATATTTGATATATTATATGGATGAGATGTTTTTCGAGTCATTGTGTATTATTATAGCATTGTATTTAAAAAAACTTGTTTTTGAAAAAATGGCCAAACCAAACGGAGCGTTTCTCCAAATGCAAAAAACTAAAATTGTCAAAGTGGATTCTGAGAGGAAAAATAGAAGGACAAAAAGGGAAAAACATTTCTTTGATGGAGAGCACATTCAATAACAAATTAATGAGGGTCCCTAGTGTTAGTTTTTGAAACAAAAATGTGTGTAAATGCAAAAGGGCAATACAAATGAATGTGTAGATTTCAACTTTTATTTGTATGTTTTAGAAGTTTTTCGAGAGCAATTGTTTGAGATATGCATTTATCAATTACGATAATTATATATTTATTTTTTTCAACAGGGGAACTTGGGATTTAAGAAGCGGGGAAGGAGAAAAGTGATTTGAACTCAAAACCTGTAGATCCTATCTCAACTTCAGCCATTCGAAAAAATTACGATATTTAGGTAATGCAGATTGAAAACAAGTTTATGGAAAAATTCTTGTGATTGATTTATGAAAGTTTGCAATGTGCTTTGATTAGCATGAAAGAATTCAAGTTACAGCAGCGCAGGTTTTTTGCGATGAAGTTACCCTCCATCAGTTTTCTAAGTATGAAAATCAATTGCAAATTTGCAACCAAGAGGCAGACTTGATTTTATTTAGTAAACTTCATTGCAAAAAACACTCAAGGATGAAAGAAACACAAACTAAAGGACTGTTTAATTAAACCAGTACTTTCTTCTTCTTTTTTTTTTGGTTTAAATGGATAAAGAATGGGCCCAATATTTTTTGGTCAGTAAATTGTAAGTTCCTTTTGCGATATTGTTGCAACTAAGGTGTGGGTAAAAATTTTATAGGTTTAATAGTGAACCCATAGAATTATTTTTTTTAATTTTGTTTCTAAACAACAGTTAAACCAGTACTTAATTTCCTTCCCTTGAACCAAAATGAAAAAAAGAAAAGAAAAAAAAAACAGTACTTAATCGTTGAAATTCCAATAATACAAGAACGACCTGTAATTTTATTGGAGCCCAAAAAAGTTTTAGAGCAAGAGAAGGCTGCTATAGTTGCAAAGAGTTTTTCTTTTCAAATGTCTCCATGAATACAATTTTTACAAGCTTGAAATTATGTACCATGCTCTAGTTAATTTAATGACTTAATTCTCTCAGCAAAAAAAATAAAAGTAATTGTTATTTGCATGGAAGAATCCCTCAATCAGTCAGAGATTTCTAGCTACAATAACTTTCATGTAACGAAAACACTGTGAAAGGATAGCACCTACGTTGGGCGGCAGATGATCCCACTGGAGAAAATCAAACTAAAACCAGTCCTTTTACAGCATGCAGATTTGGTGTTCAGGGTCTAAAATCCAAAGCAAAAAATGAAAAAGAAATAATGATGTTAAAAATTGCAGAACGATACCAAATTTTTTTTAAAAAAAAAATTCTTCAATGATGTTAACAAAATTCAATATTAATTTCATGAATTCATACTTAGCGGAGGTATTATAAATTGGTAATTAACTTTACAAATAAAATTAGATGAGTTTGTAAAAAGTTTAAAAAAATAGATTGTAAATGGATAATTGGATTACTAAATTCCTTTTTTGATTTACCCACTTATATCCATTTAATTAAACGGGTGTAAATGAGTTGACCCAATTATACTAATAAACCAATTTTAGTCCATCTAAATCCACCCGAATCATCCATTCTTAGGTTAGTACAAAAAGTTATTTTCATTATTATAAAATATTAGGAGTGTCAATTGGGTTTTCTAAACTAGGCGTTGGCGAACCTAGCCTCCACTCACAAATTATACGGGTTTTCGAGTTTCGACCTTTTAGGCTTCGGACTCAAATCAAGAGGTTCAACCTCATCTCACACTATCATACTCCCTCTATCCCGAAAAGTTGGTCATTTTCGGGAACTGGAGTATTTTTTAACAGTAGGCAAAAGAAGAGATATCTGTCTGTACTTCCTAAATTGTCCCCGTCAAACTGTCCAAACTTTGCCTATAAGTCGTGTGGTGAAGTTATTCAAATGATTTATGCAAACAAGTCAACAATGCAAACAAGTCAACAATCTGGGCTCATTATATTATTAAAGCTACACTAATTCTTTGCTTATGTTGCACTGCAGGCGTTAGCAAACATCCACTAGCACCAGTCACGCACTTTAAAGCGCGTCCCGGTCTTTATGACAACTTGTGTTAGACCCACATATTTAAAGGTAGTGCTTGAAGGGTAAAGTTAGAAGAGGGAGAAAAATTCATTTGCCATTTTAGGCATGTGACAAACATTTTAGGACATATCAAAATGGAAAGCATGACAGTTTCAATGGAATGGAGGGAGTATAAGTTTTGGGTTCAAATTGGGTTCAGCCCAAATTCATAATTAAATATATAATTATATATACTATATATTTTATAATTATGAATTACTATAAATTTATATATAAATTATTAAAAATTTATGTCATTATATGCATAAATATATATATATATATAAATATATATATATATATATATATATATATATATATATATATAAATGGGCTAGGCCTTAAACGGGCTTGAGAAGGCATAGCCCAAACTTTACTCACATTTAGTTCAGACGTAACATTTAGGATCAAACTCTGCTCGATTCAATTAAAGATTAGGATCAGCGGGCATTTTTTAGGCTGAATAGGTTGGGCTCTGGCTGGTCTAAACCAATTGACAGCCCTATAAAATATTTCAAGTTGACCCTAGTTTTATTTATTTTCATTATTATAAAAAAATATTTCAAGTTATTTTTACAAGTATTGTAAATCATTATAATTTTAAATAACTTAATATTTCTTGTCCAAATCAATGACATTAAAAGCTATTAAAGGATCTTTTGACTCCTTTGTCAACTTTTCAGTTTTAATTAAAGAACCATATTGACTACGCTTGCAAAAATTAAGAAACAAAATTAATATGTTTATAACAATTAAATGTTTACAAGAAAAGGGTAAATTTAGAATGGAATTATATTCTCTCTTTCAAAATGAGTTTTTTTAATATTATATTTTGGAGTGGGTTGCAAAAGTTAGGGAAAAAAAATACCTAAAGTAAAGAAATCAAGTGAGATTTTTCAAAGTTCAAAATTGCCAAGTGAAGGTTTATGAATTAGGAGATTCTACAATTCCTTTTGGTATCATACCCATAAGTAAAATTTACTGTTGGATGGTAAAAGAAATATTATTAACCCTTAGATTAAATATTATCAAATATTTAAAATTTAAACTATTATCTTTAGTAAGAGATACAAGTTGAGAGAATGATATCCAAAAAGAGACCATAGAATTTTCCTTTGAGATTATCCTTTATGATCTTTTTATTTGTATAGCTTCAAACTAGTTTCCGATTGGGAATATCCTATCAAAGCAACCAAAGGACCTTCTCCCTGGAGTCTGCCTTTCGCTCTTCTTTCCTCCCTCTCCGCTCCAAATTTCACCACCACCTGCCGTGCATGTGCATATGATATTGAAAGCCTCCGTCTTCTTCGCCCTTTTATTTTTCCTTCTCCTTCTCTTTTCTCTTTCTCTTGAATCTCTGCCGCCCACTTGCTGCTTGGTGAAGAGTCTTCAAAGAGAGAATTTGTTTTTTGTTATATGTTTATACCCAAAACGGCTCCGAAAATCACGGTGAAAGCCACCGGTCATGGATATCTGATGAGTCAATATGGGTTGACTCGACGGACGGAGTCGGCCCAGCCCGAATTTCCAAGTCTGAGCCAGTTTCTACCGGGTCTACCATCTCTGGGATACGGCAGACCAGTAGCAGAACGGAGGCTGAAGTTCTGGTGATGCAGACTAGGCCTAGTCTTTGAACCATGCATGGTTCATCCTCGACTTCTTAAGGCTCTTAAATTTAAAGTCCCCGGAGATGATAAAATTGATAGGTTAAGTGCCCTTCCTGACGACATTCTCCGCCATATTATGTCCTATCTCCCTACAGAAATTGCAGCGGCGACATCCGTCCTATCAACCAGATGGAAAGATCTTTTCATCTCACTTCCTGATATTGATCTCACAGTCTGTAAATGCTGGTATGCTCTGACCGAGGAGGCCCGAGAAAGAGAGGTGTCTAACTTTCTAACTTTCGGATTTAGGTTGATTCTACTACGAAATAAGGTTCCTTTAAGAAAATTTCAACTTTTTGTGTCTCCCTTCGTTGAAAATCTTCGGGTGGCAATTGATTCGTTGCTATCAGCCGCGCTTCTGGCTAAAGTCCAAGAACTGGATATTTGTGTGGAAGGAGATCAAGAGAACAGATTATATCTTCCTAGAATATTCACATCTAAGTCTCTAGTTACCTTGACAATAGAAACGGGTGAGGATTTGATTGCTCC